GATGTGGTCTACAGTTTCATGCCTCCCAGGCATGATTCGGATCAGGACCACAGCATGGGTTGTTTCCCCTCCTGCTGTTTTCCTGACCTAAAATCACAGTTGCCAACTGCCAGGTGGGGCCTGGAGAATCTCCTGGATTTACAACTGATCTCCAGACTACAGAGATCAGCTCCCCTAGAGAAAATGGCTGGCTTTCTAAGATCCCCCACAAAGGTTCCTCCTCAAACCGCACCCTCTCCAGGATCCACCCCCAAACCTCTGGGAATTACTCCACAAGAGTTGGTAACCCTGCCTCATATGGTTCAGGAGAGCCACTATTTGCAGTGTTGGGAAAACATGTGTGGTAGCCATCAACATATGGAGATTTCCCTGGGGCAGATAGTGGCTCCTGGGGGCATTTCAGGTCAAGAAAATGGCAGGTAAAAAAAAATTCCTGTCCAAATTGGGCCCATGTGCACCTGGGAGTCAAGGAACTGCAGAATGTATCTACTTAATGTGGGACTCTTTGGGTGGCCCAATCTGGCTTGTGAAATTCCTGGAGGTTGGGGGGCAGTACCTGGAGAGGGACTTCCATTTCTCTGCCCTCCAGGGGAATCGATCTCTGTGGTTTGGAGACCAGCTGTAATTCCAGAACTCTACACACACACACACACCACACACACACACACCTGGAGGTTGGCACTGGCAACCCTTGCTGACACAGAACACTCTCTAAAGCTGTGGTTTTTGCTCCCCTCCTGAGGTGGGGTGAGGGCTTCTAGGTGACCAACAGTGTTTAGATCAGGGGTGTCAAACATAAGGCCCGGGGGCCGGAACAGGCCCGTCTGGGGCTCTTATGTGGCCCAGGAGCAACTAGTGCAAGGGAGGGAACAGGAGACTGCCTGGGGGACGGATGGGCAGCGTGACGGAATAACCTTGTCTGCAGCAGTCAAGCAGTCGCCCATATGGGTTTTCCTCTGCACCCCCCTCCCTCCCAGCCCATGGGACCTTGCAGTGAGGATACACCAGTTTGGAGCTTACCAGCTGCTGTCCCTTATACTGTTTCTATCTATGGTACCTGGCATTATGCTTTATGGCACACATGGCCTGGCCGGACAAAGTGACATATATGTCAGATCTGGCCCTCGTAACAAATGAGTTCGACACCCCTGGTTTAGATGTTCTGGCGATGAAGCCTGTTCAGCTGTCCTGCCTTTCCCTTAAGCCTCGTGCCGTTAAGGTGGTAAACGCAAGGAAGGGGCAGGGCACTCTCCTTCGCACGTTCTTTCACTTCCAAAGAAGGATCCATCTCCTGCGGCTTGGGGGTCGAGCGAGGCAAATTGGTTTAAATGCACATCGCACCTCCTCTCCAAAGCAAGCGACCGCTGAGATTCCCTTTCCCTTCTTCACCCGCGGGCGCCTCCAAGGGAGTCCGGCCGCTTCCCCTGCTCTTCTCCTCGGCAGCCGGGAGAGCAAAGCGTTAACTGTGCCCGTCATGCCGCATCTGGACTGAAGGTGGCGCCGGTTTCCTCTCCTCTCCCTTCGCCTCAACTTCCCAAGCTGCTCCCACCAACCAAACTCCGGGACGGAATTGCAGGGGGAAGCCGAAGGCTCAGACTGGACTTGTTGATCTCCAGTAAGAAGCAGCGCGAAGGCGAGAGGAAAGGAAAGGCGAGCGGGAGAGCGAGCGGGAGGGGCGTTTTCTTTCGGCGGTGTCGTGGCGGTGTCGGGGGTTTGTAAAAAAAAAAAAAAAAAGAATTTTAACTCAGTCCGGATCCCATTTTCGGTTTCGGCGGATTTCAAGGTGGGGCTTGGAAGAAGAAGAAGAAAGGGGGGGGGGTTCAAACGAGGCCCTCGGAGCAGCTCCTGGCACGAACAGCAACAGAAGCCCGAAATCCACGGCACGCTTCCGGCCGCTGCTTCTCTTGGATCCCCCCCCCAGGCACCCGGCGGCACTCGCCTTCCCCACGGCGGGGTACTTGGCCACCGTGGGCATTTTCGTTTCCGGCTGCTCTCCCGGCTTTGCTCGGAAGGATGCAAGCGACGCCCGGCTGCTGAGCTGCCCTCGCCGTCTGAAGCATGATGTAGCTCCCCGGCCCATGCTCTGCTCTCCCCCGACAGCCCGCCCGTGCGTCCCCTGGGGTCTCGGCAAAGGAAGTAAGTGGCCGGCGAGGAGGAAGAGGGGGGCGATCGAGTCACCGCCGCTGCCCAGCCTTCCCAGCCAGAGCCAGAGCGGCGGGGCTCTCGGTCTGAATGCGCAGGCTTGATAGGGGGGGACGGGGACCGGCGGCGAGGGAAGGATCGGGCTCCCCACATCGATTCCTGGGTCCGCCGCGGGATCTGGTGCGACCTTTCCCCTCTGAGACCCTCGCGGGGGCGGCGAGCGGGGGGCGGAGGGCGGAAGGAGCCGTCCCTCCGACCATCTTCCTTCCCGGGGGTTTGTTTCAATGCCATCTTGTGTAAGCAACAGTGCGGGGAAGGCTGCAAAGGAAGCGCTTTCTCTGGGCTGCAATTTGGGGGTGGGGGTGGGGGTGGCTGTAAGAACGGTTCCTGTTCGTGGTTGGGGGGTGGCAAAACACGATTCTTCAGAAAGCTTTCCCCCCC